GGTTTCACCCTGGCTGCGATGACAGCCGTTAATCGCTGTAGTTTGTCGCTGCCTGTGTGTCGAGCCCTTTAGGAATGATGTCCTCTCTCAGTAGATACATTTAAACTTCTTTAATGCTCTTCACAGCTTACAGTTAGAGTAACAGTTCTGTATAACACAGGGGGTAACTTCTTCTTCTCCAAATCTCCTGCAGTAGATTTTTAAGTTTTTCTTTGCTACTGCCTCTACTGGTGTTGGGTGGTAACACAACCAAAAACAAAAGATTACTAAATCAGGATACCACAGTATTCTCTTTACTTTTAGAGACAAAACTGTTAGCGGACCAACTAGCTTCCGCTAAATTAGGTTTTTCCAACTTTAAGTCCGCTAACAGCTAACTAACAAACTAACAACAGCAGGTTTTTGTCAGTCCCACCAGTGTTCAGCTCAAATGAGATGCAGACTTAGTGGTTAGCGATTTGCTGTTAGCGTTAGCTTCCACTATTTTTTTTTTTGCATGTTTAGCAGCTTAGCGTTAGCATATATATACTTTTAATCAGCACATTTAAAGTGAAAAAAGTGGCTTTTTGTTTAGCCGTGCCCACCACTATATAACTCAAACATTGAAATAAAATAATTCAATCATCATTCAGTCTGGTGTGGTAGTAGCTGAGAGTCATKAACTCGTGCATTCTTTTGAGGAATGCCAGGCTCTTTGTTTATCGTTCAGGGTGGGGTTGGGGGGGTCAGTCCGGACCCCCATCCTCCCCCATGTGTGTAAAAATATGCTAATGTTTTATTAACAAAGAAGTGAGAGGAACAAAGGCCTTAAACTTGGTCTGAAATGTTTTTAACTTGATTTTGTTTTAAATTTGTTGTTTTTAACTTGAATCCGGATCCAGTTGAAACAGGACTTCTTTACATAAAACCAGATTCAGGTTCCGGCTGATTGAAGCTGGTTTTATTGGGAATAAATCTGCTGGTTCTGATGGTCCAACAAAGGTTCTGTTCAAAGAAACTCTAACTTAATAACTGTTAAAATGTTTCTTATAATAAAAGTTATTCTGATAAAAACTGTTGAACTTTTTGTTTTGTTGTTTGTTTTTAAGTGTAAATGTTTTATTTAGATTTAGTTTCTGTGTTTTAATGAACTAATAATTTGACAGATGACGTAATGAAACGGGAGCCGGACTCTCGGGGTTCTGTTGGACCCACCTGCAGATGGACGGTCGGAGTACCGGGTGCAGTAGACCCAGGCGGGCCACAGCAGGCCCCGGGCCGCCGGGGCCCCTCCGGCCTCGGGGCTCCGGTCTCGGTCTCCCTCCCGGACCTCGGGCCTCCGGGCCTCCGGGTCCGGACTCTTGCCCTCCGACCCTCTGGGGTCCGCATCTGCTCCCGAGCCTCGGTCCTGGGAAGACCCGGTTTTGGACGGTTTTCTCCCGGTCCGTTCACTGCTTCTCATCACCAGACCGAACCCGAACCCGTCCCGAACCGGAGTCCGGTCCTTGCGCCTGAGGCCGAAGTCCGGCCTGAGGATGTTGTCGATGCAGAAGTTGGTGATGTTGGACTGCTGCAGGTCCGGGGGCTGCAGCAGGGGGAGGATGGCCCGGTTCTGGTTCTGGGGCCGCTCTGAGTCTGGGCCAACATGTTTCTCCATGCTGATGAAGTCTCAGTCCTGTTTGGTCCAGGTCTTAATCCCAGGGTTCGGATGGGCTTTTTCAGGTGCAGAAAAAAGTCCCGAACCAGAATGTTGGACTTGAACGAAGCAGAGCGTCGGTTCGGTGCTGCTGGTCCGGTCGAGCTGAGGAACGGAACCTGGACTGGGTCTGACAAAGAACAATCATGCTTCAGTTTGGACTCAGAACATGTTGAGAACACCTGACCCGGTTCTGCTCCCTGCAGTCAGGTCAGACCTGATGGAAAACATTTTATATTAAAAAAAAAAAAAAAGACCCACAGGTTCTGGTTCGTTTGGGTCCCTGAACAGAACCAGTCCTCCTCCAGCAGAACTAAACGGTCCTGATAAATCCAGCGCTCAAATCTTTTCACTCAACATTTTGGTTCTTATTTCTGATTGGCTGCGAGCTCCGGCGTGACGTCACGCCACGGCTCTCTCAGACGCGTGCCTCGGTCCAATAGAACCGCGGGGTTCGGGTCACGTGAGTTCAGGGATTCCCTGGAGGTGAATCCGGTCCACCGGAGGATGATGCGTTCAGGGTTCAGCGGAAATGTCAGACTTATCTCCAGCTGGGCTCGGTTCAGTTCTGAGCCGGTTCGGGGGTGATCCGCATTTGCAGACCTTCTTGTAATCCTTTGAACTGGTTCCGATCCAGAGTTCTACAGATTTTTCACCCGAACTGAACCAAGAGGCTGCAGGACCGGACCGGACAAAGGCTGGGGTGTCCTTCAGGGCCCAGCTGACAAACTAGATGACGTCATGAGGTTCTGAAAGCTCCTTCTCATCAGACAACAAACTTTTATTTGCTTATTTGAAAAGTTGTGTATTTTACTGTGAAATGATCAGTGTTGTATGAAGTACCTCAAAGTGATACTTGAGTAAAAGTACAAGTATCTTATCATAAAAATACTTTGGTAAAAAGTCTTCTCTAAAAATATTACTTGAGTAAAAGTCTTAAAAGTATCTGATTTGTTTTTACTTAAGTATCAAAAGTAAATTTCTGACACAAAATATACTTAAGTATTAAAAGTAAAAGTACTGAGTAAAAGTGAGCAGTTAGATTTTCCACAATGACATTTACTGGGAGGTGATTTCTCCAAAATACAGGTGCTGGTCATAAAATTAGAAT